GATAAAGATGATCTGCCAATCTTGACAAAACTCAACATTCTTTAGTGGGAAACAAACTTTAAAATCTATTACCCACAATGTCCAGTAAATAATGTAAAACTACCATGTGAAGTAAAGGGAAATCATACCCATGGTCCAAAGAAAGAACAGTTGATAAAAACAGAAACACATCCATAGACAATCCAGATGTTAAGAACTAGCAGACAAAGATTTTAAATAACTATAATAAATATGTCTTTAAAATGTGGATTTTGTCAATTATACAAATCATAGCCTCACCTACCCCCAGGATCCTAGTGAATTTGAGTTGTCCATGATCTTTAATCAAATTGAGATTTTGAATGGTTTATATTTGAAAGCCCAAAGCAAACAACTTGAAAGTGATTAATGACATCAAATTTAATTATATATTTACAACTCCCAGTAGGACAAGGGAAAGAATAAGATGTCTCATTTCTCTGTAGTGAGAGGGCTTCATTAAGATTTGACAGTAGTTGTTTAACAGCAATAATTGAGTTTTATGCAACATTACACAGGTTCTCCTCACCTGGCATCAAAATCTAATCACAGACTGATAGGGTACTTAGGCTCCTAACAGTGAGAAAAAACAGTTTAGCTGAGTAAAAAACTAATCTTCTAAAGTACTTATCTTCATCTGTCAATGTGATCTTATCAAGGATTTTTATAATTTCTGTAAACAATCATTATATTTTAGCTGAATCAGTGGCATATGCTCTTTGTAAACAGAGAGTCAGATTCCTCCTATTTTAAAACATTTTCTACCAGTTCCCATCACACCACTCACCACTCACCCCTACCCTGGCCCTGTAAAAGGAATTTAGTTTCAACTTTCTTTTCTTAATCCACTAAGCAATCTCATGAATAAAAAGATAATCACAAGCCCTGCATGCCTGATAGAATGTTTTTATAAACCTTCTCAGTGTTTTAATATTTATTTACTATTTTGTAAAAATAATATTTACTGAATAAGCTAGATCATCTTCTCCAGGGAAAAAAGGTAACGTTGGTGAAAATATACTGAAAGCTCTGCTAAGTACACATTATTTTTGCATAAAATTTTGCGTAGAATTCTGTGGAGGTTGGCAAAGCATTGTAGAATGATTGACATGGCTGCCTTGATATTGTTCTTGCTTTGTCTGTGTCCACTTATGTTGACCCTGCCACTCCTAAAGATTTACTTTTGCTGAGGTAGGGAATCACTCCTTATACATGTTTTGTTGTCCATCTTGGTCTCCCTAAAGGATGGCCTCACCAAATTTTTTCTTTTTCTTTTTTTTTTTTTGAGATGGAGTTTCGCTCCTGTTGCCCAGGCTGGAGTGCAATGGTGCTATCTTGGCCCATGGCAACCTCCGCCTCACGGGTTCAAGCAATGCTCCTGACTCAGCCTCCTGAGCAGCTGGGACTACAAGCACACTCCACCACGTATTTTTAGTAGAGATGGGGTTTCACCATGTTGACCATGATGGTCTTGATCTCTTGACCTCGTGATCCACCTGCCTTGGCCTCCCAAAGTGCTGGGATTACAGGTGTGAGCCACCGTGCCCAGCCCCCAAATTTTTTCTTACTCTTACTCAAAGAGTTTGTTTCCCGCACAACAGGAGAGACACCTGAGGGACATACCCAAAACTGTATCCATAAGAATTCCATCCTATCAGCAATAAACAAGTACCCGGGGACAGAATATAGGCAGCTCCATTTTGACCAACCACAGTTGCCTGCACTCAAGCAGTGTTTCTTCCAGGCACTGAGGGCAACTTTGTCTCTCCAACCTTGGCTGGAGAGTATGAGACTAGCGACCCAACAGTCCAGCAAAGAACTATTGCGGGGGTGGGGAGTTGGGGAGAGATAGCATGGGGAGAAATGCCAGATATAGGTGATGGGGAGGAAGGCAGCAAACCACACTGCCATGTGTGTACCTATGCAATAATCTTGCATGTTCTTCACACGTATCCCAAAACCTAAAATGCACTTAACAAAAAAAGAACTATTGGACTTCTTCCCAACACTGACCCTTAGGTGTCTTCTCTTGTTAAGTGCCCAGAGATTGGCCTTCCCTAGAAACCTTCTCTCCCCATGTCAAACCAAAAATATATGGGCCAACACTTAGAAGCTATTTGAAATTCTCCATATATAAGTCACCAAGTTGAATGATCTTCAAATAGAACTAACTTAACTTGCCTCTCTAAAGAGGTATTACCATCCTAAATGCTATGTGAAGTACATAAAATTTTTTTTAATTTTACTTCAAGTTCTGGGATACATGTGCAGAATGTACAGGTTTGTTATATAGGTAGACATGTGCCATGGTGGTCTGCTGCACCTGTCAACCTGTCGACTCATCATCTAGATTTTAAGCCCTACATGCATTAGATATTTGTCCTAATGCTCTTCCTCCCCTTCTCCCCAACCCCCGAAAAGACTCAGTGTGTGATGTTCCCCTCCCTGTGTCTATGTATTCTCACTGTTCGGCTCCCATTTATGAGTGAAAACATGCAGTGTTTGGCTTTCTGTTCCTGTGTTAGTTTGCTGACAATAATGTCTACCAGCTTCATCCAGGTCCCTTTAAAGGACATGAATAAATTCTTTTTTATGGCTGCGTAGTATTCCATGGTATATATGTGCCACATTTTCCTTTTTTTTTTTTTTATGAGATGGAGTTTCACTGCTGTTGCCCACATTGGAGTGCAGTGGCACAATCTCAGCTCACTGCAACCTCTGCCTCCTGGGTTCAAGTGATTCTCCTGCCTCCACCTCCTGAGTAGCTGGGATTACAAGCTCTTACCACCATGCCCAGCTAATTTTTATATTTTTAGTAGAGACAGGGTTTCGCCACGTTGGCCAGGCTTGTCTTGAACTCCTGACCTCAGGTGATCCACCCACCTCAGCCTCCCAAAGTGCTGGGATTATAGGTGTGAGCCACCATGCCTGACCCCACATTTTCTTTATCCAGTCTATCATAGTTGGGCATTTGGGTTGGCTCCAAGTCTTTGCCACTGTAAATAGTACTGTAATAAATATATGTGTGTATGTGTTCTTATAGTAGAATGACTTATAATCCTTTGGGTATATGTCCAGTAATGAGATTGCTAGGCCAAATGGGTATTTCTGGTTCTAGATCCTTGAGGAATCACCACACTGTAATTTTAAAGGAGAGAACCAGTGTCCAGTGTCTTATTAAACGTAAATAGATAAGAAATAAGTGTGTGATGATATCTACTTAGCATCTTTTTGTTTAAAAATACATTGTCAAACCATAGCTACACCAGGCACTGTACAAGCCATTAACTATGCAAAAAATGCGTAAGACTAAGACCTCACATTCTAGTAGAATAAAGAAACACATCAACAAATGACCATAATGCAGTGGGTTAACTAATGCAAGATTTGAATA